CAGGGTGGTCATTGGTGGTAGCCGGGCACCATCTAGTTCTTCTGGTCTCAGGCTGATGAAGTCTCTGGTTTATGTGGCCCTTTCTGTCTCTTGGGCTACTACTTTCCTTGTGTCTTTGGTGTTCTTCATTCTCTTTTACTCCAGGTGGTTGGGACCAGTTGATGGCCACTTGCAAGCTTTTAAGACCCTAGATGCCACTCACCAAAGTAGGATGCAGAAGATTTTCTTAATAAGCTTTGTTATGCCAGTTGACCTAGATGTTCCCTGAACGCATGGTCCCCAGACCCCTACCCCTGCTAATCTGTCCCTCAAAGTGTTTGATTGTGTTCAAGAAACTTCTTAGCTTTGGTTTAGTCCAGTTGTGCTGACTTCCCCTGTAGTGTATGCTGTCCTTCCCTTTGTCTAAGATAATTCTTATCTACTATCTAGTTAGTAAATAACTCTCCCCCTCCCTCCCCACCCTCGTAACCATCAAAGAATGTTGTCTTCTGTGTTTAAACCTTTCTTGAGTTCTTGTAATAGTGGTCTAATACAATATTTGTCCTTCTGTGACTGACTAAATTCACTCATCATAATGACCTTCAGATTCCTCCATGTTATGAGATATTTCACGGCTTCATCATTGTTCTTTATCGTTGTGTAGTATTCCGTTGTGTGGATATACCATAATTTGTTTATCCATTCATATGTTGATGGGCACCTAGGTTGTTTCCATTTTTTTGCTATTGTGAACAGTGCTGCAATGAACATGGATATGCATATATATATTCGTGTGACAGCTCTTATTTCTCTAGGGTATATTCCAAGGAGCGGGATAGCTGGATTGTATGGTACTTCTATTTATAGCTTTTTAAGGAGGCGCCAAATCGATTTCCTAAAGATAAAGTATTATATCGAGGTTTGGTATTTATTAAAAAGTCTTAGCTTTCTGTCTTTCAGCTCCTTATGGGCAATTTGTTTGAATGAGGGTGACTGACTGTCGTGGAGAATTTTGGCTTTCTACCAGTGATGGCTGGGAGACAGGGCAGAGGCAGAACCTGAAGTGTGATGTTAAAAAGCATTGGAACGGTGTGGCTCTCTGCATCATGTAAGCCTGAAAATGTTTGTTTTATTGCTTTTCACCTGGTGGGTCTGAACCTCTTCACTTGTCAGACCTGACAGCTTAACTGTATTGTAGTTGCTTCGGTCTTTACCTAAAATCTAATTCTACTAGTTCTTTTAAAAACATTTTATTTCCCCTCTTAGGTGGGGGAAGAGGTAGGCTGTTTCTTTTAAACTGTTAAATCCCCTTTCTCTGTTTCAGTCTTTGCTCCAGAGACACTAAATAACTTGGATGGTTTTGACAGGAAAAGCACTCGGTGGAAGGGAGAAAACTACTCAGCACACTTACCCCCAAGTATGGGAGTCCCTGGGTGGAGCAGATGGTTAAAAGCTCCACTACTGGCTGAAAGGTTGGCCGTTCAAATCCACCCAGAGGTACCTCGAAAGATAGGCCTGGTGACCTGCTTCCCAAACTCCATGGGACAGTTTTACTCTGCACACATGGGGTCGCCATGAGTTGGAATCAACTCATTGGCAGCTAACAACAATGACAAACAACACCCTCCTCCCCCCAAGTATGGAAGGCAACAATGGTTCAATGGTAGAATTTTTAGCCTTCTATGGGAGACCCGGGTTTAATTCCCAGGTAGCGCATCTTATACATAGACACCACCCATCTGTCAGTGGAGTCTTAACGTGTTGCTATGATGCTGAACAGGTTTCAGTGGAGCTTCCAGGCTAAGATGGACTAGGAAGAAAGGCTTGGTGATCTACTTTCAAAAATCAGCTAGTGAAAACCCTAAGGATCACAACAGTCTGATTCTGTTGTGCATGGGGTCACCCTGAGTTGGGGCACACTTGACAGTAGCCAACAAAAATAGCCCCTAAGTATACAAGAAGTTTGTAGTTTTGTTTTACCTAGGCTATGTTCATGGGTCAGAGGCTACAAACCTTGTGAGAAGGGAGAGGACCACATGCCCGTCCCCAGGAGGAGGGGTGCAGACCTGTGCGTGCTTCTGTTCAGCTTTCTAGACTCTCCCAACTAGGCTCTGCAAACTCACTCACTGGACTTCTCTTCTGCCATTTACCATCTCTCGCTCCGCTCTTTCCAACCTCTACATTGTTTTTTTTTCTGATCATCAGCGACACTCACAGTCTAACTTTCTATATTTAGTAGAAGTAGCTTGCAAAAGCTTTAGGCCTGAATATTACAACAGAACTGGGCAATACTGCTAACTCCTAGATTATTGGTGAACAGATTATTTTAAATTTGGTTTATAAATTGGGTAGTACTCTTTTTTTTTTTTTTTTAAAGTACCTTTTTGGATAACTTCCCCCCATTCAATTTTATTTTGTTGCATTCTATTAGCAAACTTTGGAACTCTAAAAACATAAGCATTTATCCAATTATAGAGAATATTTGAAAGATGTATCTGCTGAGGTTGGTATTTTGTACCATTCCAAAGCAGCATTTCCCAACTGGGGGCTTAAATTACTGTTCTGGAGAGCACATGCTGTTAAAAGCTCTAACGGAGGATATTTTAATGTCTGTGAACAAATCAACCAATAAAACAGTCACTTAAATATTTTCTTCCCGTTTCTAGGCAGCTTTATGATTGTTGGTGGGGGTCAGGCAAATCGGCTCAAGCCCGTCAGTTGGTTTATTGTGCAGGCGAATGCTGCTACCTGCAGTGGCTATTTGACATTTATATAGTTTAGAATTATTATTCATAGTCATGTAGTGTTTAATTTGTGCCCATAATGAGTTATTGGTTAAAGTCTGGAAGCATACGGGACACTGATGATGAAAAGCAGGTTAATGAGTATCATAAAAATGATAGTTCTGAAAATTAGCTCCAGGATGCTTTTACTAGATCAGTAAGCTGCATTCATTTGATAAAGATTCTCAAATAGCACATTGACGTGTGTCTAATATCTTAATACTTAATGTTAAAAAAGGAAAAATACAGTGATTATTGTATTCCGTTTTGCTTTTCATTTCTTGGGAAAAATTATCCTCCTCCAAATGTATTTGAATTTGCAAATAGCACTCTGAAATCTTCTCTCTTACCTTCTCATTTTGAAATAAAGCACAAAAGTTCTAAAAATAAGCTTGTTACTTTACTTCAGTGCCAAGTCTAAGAATTCTGAACATTAGGTCATGAAAGCGGTTTTTGTCCTTTTTTGATGCCATAAGTACATCTCAATTAACATTTGAAAACACTATTAGTCTCCAAACCAAACATAACATAATGTTATTTTTGAATTTTTGCATAATTAAAAATTGGACCTGACTCAAAAAATAGTTTATCTTAATAAATATGTCTATCTTGAGCATTGTACTCTTTTAAAGAATTATCTGTGAGATCAAATTGACAACTGCAACATGAAAGATTAGTTAGATGAGAACCTTAGGGGGCGTTGAGTCTAGGTCAATGGTGGTAGAACAATTCAGAGAAGGATTCTGAGGATGCTTGTACAACTTGAAGAATGTAATCAATGTCAATGAGTTGTCATGTAGGAAATTGGTGAAATGGTGTATATGTGTGTAATTTCACACACACACACACCCACACACCCACACAAAAGTGGACCAAGTTAAATTTCATCTTGATATACTACAAATGGTATAAAAAAGTTATTACAGGCAACTTTGTCATGGTCTTAATAATAGTAATTGCAAATAATGTGTTTTGAAGTTAGAATCACTTTACCATGTCACATATAAAGTTACAGGATTCTTTAAAAAATCACCAAAAGATTTCTTGGGCTTGTGTTATTGTGAGAGGACTTGCAGTTCTGGAAGGATTAAGACGTGCAGTTATCTAATGGTGAGAATAGCAAGGAGAAGAGCTCTGGGGAGGAAGTGACACATCTTCCTGCATAAGAGGTTGACAGTATGGAAACATGTATGCATTGCCACAGATCAGAGCCAGCTCTGAATGACTTCAACAGTGACGTCAGTGGTGTGTTGTCCTCCTTGGCCCTCTGTGTTATTGCAGAGTTGATTGTAATGATGACTGTCACCTAGCGGGGATGCCAGCATCCCTGCTCCTTTCTGGGGTAAGGCTGGTTTAAGTAAAAGAGGTTGCTGATTGGCCATGGTTGTTGGGAGCAGCGAGCAATACGAAACTCCTTCTGAGGATAACCTTGGCGTGAAGTATTCAGAGGTCTGCCCTGTGAGGCAGGAAGGTTTAGAGCTGCAGTAATTGTGGGCGCTCAGAGGGAAACCTAAGTTAAAAAGAATCTTAGGGAAGTGCAAAACTATTACTGTAGTGTGATTAAAGGAAGCATTTTTAAGATTGTAAAAGTACAAGTCTTGCTCATTTAAAAAAATTGATCTGTTTCAATCAAGCTTGCCGTTAAGTGAATATGTTTAAGTGGATTATAGTTCTCCATTTACATCTTTTATAAAACTGGACATGCTATATTGGGGAAAAAAAGGCCCCTGGATATAATTTGCATTTCTTAAGAATGCAGTAAATCTGTCACTGCATGCTTAAAATAATTATTTTCTTAACCGAAACTAACATGAATGCAAAAACATAACCAGCAGCTCTAATGTATAAATATTTTAGACTTATCTCATTAGAAATAATTTTTTTGAATAACATAAATGGTGGCTATACACGTGGACCGCACCAGATGGAATATACAGGAATCAAATAGACTACATTTGTGGAAAGAGACAATGGAGAAGCTCAATATCATCGGTCAAGAACAAAGCCAGGGGCTTACTGAGGAACAGACCATCAATTGCTCATATGCAAGTTCAAGTGGAAACTGAAGAAAATTAGAACAAGTCTAAGAGAGCCAAAGTACTACCTGAGTATATCCCACCTGAATTTAGAGACCATCTCAAGAATAAATTCCATGCGTTGAACACTAATGGCCGAAGACCAGATGAGTTGTGGAATGACGTCAATTCTGTACCAAAAAGAATTGGTTGATGTTAAACCATTTCAGTGGGTAGCATATGACCAAGAACCTATGGTACTGAAGGAAGAAGTCCAAGCTGTACTGAAGGCATTGGTGAAAAACAAGGCTTCAAGAATGGACAGAATACCAATTGAGATGTTTCAACAAACAGATGCAATCCTGGAAGCGCTTACTTGTCTATGCCAAGAAATTTGGAAGATAGCTACCTGGCCAACCGACTGGAAGAGATCCATGTTTGTGCCCATTCCAGAGAAAGGTGATCCAACGGAAGGCAGACGTTATTGAACAGTATCATTAATTCACGCCAAGTAAAATTTTGCTGAAGATCATTCAAAAAACGGTTGTAGCAGTATATTGACAATGAATTGCCAGAAATTCAAGCTCGATTCAGAAGAGGATGTGGAAACGAGGGATATCATTGCTCATGTCAGATGGATCTTGGCTGAAAGCAGAGAATACCAGAAAGATGTTTACCTGTGTTTTATTGACTATGCAAATGCATTCGACTGTGTGGACCATAACAAATTATGAATAACATTGCGAAGAATGGGAATTCCAGCACACTTCGTTCAGTCAATTTGCAATAAAAGAAAACCTGTATATAGGAGGTCTTAGGACGATTTGTGTTGGAACCTTGCTACTGTTATGTAAAATGCTACATGATAAGAGAGAATGAAAAACATTTGAACATTGCTTAAGGTAGTTAGGTTCTCAACCAAATTTGGGATAACTGGAACATTTTCTCATAAAAATTTAGCTTGCCAGAAAGGTGGTGGACGCTTGAAGAATAGCCAGAGTAGAAAAGATTATGTGTAATCTATAAGTTGCTAGTTATTTGAAATTCGAGGATCACTTGTATAGGGTTTTAGGTGGCTTATGGAAGCTAAAATGTCATCTGATTAGGAATTGGTCTATATCGGAAGGTGATATAATTCTCACAACACTCTTATTACATACTCTTATTATACCCATTTTACAGGTGAGGAAACTGAGTCACAGGGAACCTAGTGAACTTGACCAAAGATACACGTACAGCAATTGGCAGAGCAGGATTTTAGATCTAGGTGATCTGATTCCAGAGCCACCATTCTTAGCTACTTTACTGGG